AGGTGAGTGACGGTGCATGGATGCAGTCACACCTGTACTAGGTGAGTGACGGTGGATGCAGTCACACCTGTACTAGGTGAGTGACGGTGCATGGATGCAGTCACACCTGTACTAGGTGAGTGACGGTGGATGCAGTCACACCTGTACTAGGTGAGTGACGGTGGATACAGTCACACCTGTGTGCAACGCCTTCAACCTTTAACGGCCACTCAGGGGAATATAAAATGTGTCTTTCTTAGACTGGTAGCAGTTCTGTGGAGGTGAATGCAGGTTAGTTTGTAGCTGGTAAACGTAATATTGAACCAGCTGGGTGAGTGAAGAAAGTGCAGAGATTCTTATTTGAGTGATGTCCAGAAATTATGAAGTCTGAATTTGGACCCATAAACAGCATTATATGGCTGCATGAGGCATTCGCATTTATATTCCGGGGCCCGTTGCCAGAAACAGAATTAGTCTTAACATTAGCTTTAACATTACGATGTTTCTGACAACGGGAGTGAGGCTATCTGTAGGAAAGGGATCTTTATTTAAGGTGATTGTGTCACCGAATATTGTTGTAGCAAATTTGTTGACACAACATGTAAACATTCAATCTGTTATGGTGCCCATCACTCTTAGATTCAATTGATTGAATTTCTGCAGTCTTCCCATTTTGCTTTTCTATATGATGTGAGCAAACAGTTGCAGTGTATACATGATCGTATTGTGAGAAATTTTTCTGTGCACCTTTAGTATTTTTCACTACTTCAAAAAACAACCTTATCGACTTGACAATTACTTCAATCAAGAACACTTAAACTGTTAATGGCTTATATTACGTTCTCTTTAATTTACCGGCATCAGCAATTGCTTTTATTGTAAAAGAAGGAATCGCAAGATAATGTTTACATGTCTCCACTCCACCTCATAGGGCTCTCGGCGGTTAGTTTAATAAGCATAATGTTAATGTTATAGTTTAATGAGCAGTCGTCAACACGTGAGCGTGTGTGTGTGTGTGCTGCAGGTATAGACATGGAGACGGCGCGTAACGAGGAGGAGAATCGCATGCTGGCAGATGCCAACCAGTGGCTGAAGGGCGGAATCATCCGCGAGAAGAAACATCCGAAGACTGGTGCGACGGCCCTACACGTAGCCTCTTCCAAGGGCTACATCAAGGTCGTCAAGTAAGCGCGCGTGCATGTAACTCATAGGTTATAGCGTGACTCGTATAACTCACGCGTATATCTCGTACGTATATAACTCGAACATATACGTTCATGCATATAGCTCTTACGTATATAACTCGAACATATACGTTCATGCATAACTCGTACGTATATAACTCGAACATATATACGTTCGCGCATAACTCGTACATAGATAACTCAAACATATACGTTCATGCATAACTCGTACATATATAACTCAAACATATACGTTCATGCATAACTCGTACGTATATAACTCGAACATATACGTTCATGCATAGCTCTTACGTATATAACTCAAACATATACGTTCATGCATAACTCGTACGTATATAACTCGAACATATACGTTCATTCATAGCTGGCTTACGTAGTATAAAGACTCGAATAGATTATAAAGGAGTAGCAGTTAGAGTCCAATGAAAGCAGTAGAGCCTGAGTACGGTATATAACGAACTCGCGGAATATTATAGTAACGTTACCGGATGGCATAACATCAGTACGTTAATAAACCTCGAAAAGACATAAGTACGATTACAAAGTCGTGTGTGGCTCTGTAACGTATATCAACTCGAACTGATATTAGAGCAAGCTTACGATCTGAGAGGGAGGCCAGATAACTAGTACGGGTATGATAACTCGGGAAAACAATATACGATTCATAGCATAACTCGTAACGTATATAACTCGAACATAATACATTTATGCATGAACTCGTACATATATAGGACTCCGAACATCAATAGTACGCTTCATCGCATAGCTCTTTACGTATATAATCGAATATTATAACTACGTTCATGCATAACTCGTACGATAATAACTGAAATAATGTATATACGTTCATGGGCATAACCTATACGTATATAAACTCGAAATAATTATAGTACGCTTCGCATGCAATAACGTAGTACGTATAATAACTTCGAATACTTATAATACTTCATACATAACTCTCTACTGTATATAACTCGAAATATATATACTTCAATTGTATAACTCGTACTAATAAACTCGAATATATATCGTCATACGCAAACAGTACGTAATATAACTCGGAAATATTTATAGGCGTTCATGCATAACTCTTATACGTAATAACACTGCGAACATATACCGCATCTCATGCACATGGCCTTAAATTAGACGTATAGTAAACATCGAAACATATACGTTCATTGACGATAACCATAAGTAACGGTATATAGACTCGACACATAATACGGTTCATGCAGTAACTCTTACGTAGACGTATAACCTACGAATATTAAGTACGTTCAATGCATAACTCCTTACGTATATAACGTCGAACGATATATGCGTTCATCGGCATGGCTCAGTTACGTATAATAACTCCCGAACATATACCGTTCATGCACTACGCTCTTGACGTATGATAACTCGAGAAACATATAATAACGTCATGGCATAGCTCTTAAAACGTATATAAAGCCGAACCATATACGTTCAGGCAATAAGCTCTTACAGTAAATGATATACTCGAAAATATTATATAACGTTCATGGCATAACTCTTAACGTATATCACTCGAACATATACGTTCACGCATAACTCGTACGTATAATAACTCGGAGAAACATAATACGTTCATTTCATAGCTCTACTAAATATAGACCGAAACATATACGTTCATGCATAACTCGTACGTATATAACTCGCATCAAATACGTTAATCGTAGAGCTCTTAACGTAACTAACTCAAGACATAATACGATTCATGCAGTAACTCGTACGTATATAACGTCGAACAGTATATACGGTTCCGGCATAACTCGTAACATAGATAACTGCAAAGAATATCACGTTCATTGGCATAACATCGTACATATACTGAGACTCAAACATATACGTATCCAATGCATAACTCGTACATATATAACTCCAAACATATTACTTCAATCGGCCAGTAAGCTCGTAACATAATATAACCGTTACCATATATAACTCGAACATATATGTTCATGCATAACTCGTAGATGTAGCTGAGCAATGGCCCTCCACGTAGCCGCCTCTAAGGGCTACATCAAGGTCGTTAAGTAGCGCGCGCACACATAAGTCATAGGTGTCACTGAGATTCATATAACAACATGTGGCACATTGTCCGATCACCGCAAATGCTAACAGATGAGCTCATGCGGCCGCCATGTTGATCTTGCGCGAATCACTTTGAAGCATGTTGAACGTAAGAATGTGCATCGCAGCAATGATCATGTCGACATGCGACGATAATTCGACTTCAGGAGCGGCCACTGAATCTAATAAGCCAATTAGCCAATTATTTCCACGATGCACTATTCAGTTTTTGTATTCAGTTGTGAGGCTGCGTGTAATCGCGCCCACTTTTGTGTGTGTGTGTGTGGTGTGTGTAGTGTGTGTGATGTGTGTGTGTGTGTGTGTGTGTGTAGTAAGTGTGATGGAGTGTGGGTGTGGGTGTGTAGTGGGTGGTTGGGGTAGTGTGTGTGTGTGCTGTGGTGGGGACCGTAATCGTTCAATAACGGGGTTAATGGAAATAGCTGCTCAGCGGAGAATGAGAGGTGTAATGGTGCGCCAAGTGCGCGAAATTAGCGCATAGTTCGCCGGTTCAAACCACCTAACCCACCCGCTTCAACCACCAGGACTAACCCACCGGTTCAACCCGCCCAGAGAATTCAGTCCATTTGGCCTATTCCAAAATATATTGGCCATATGCTGCCTTTATATGCAAATAATATTTTACACAATTTCGCTGACTAAGTTTTTACTTAGAAATGCTAAGAAGTAAAGTGCATGTAACAATAACAAAAACGAAAGCAAAAACGAAGTAAGGCAATGAAAATACTGGAATACTACGAGTAATGCCTAATAAACACGAAAGCTAATACCTTTTACTTAATAATGGAATAAATTGAACAAAAATAAGGGCCTGTTTGTAAAATTTGGGTGGTCGCTGTTCACATTTGGGGTGGGAATTTCAATGGCCCATGGTGGCGCGGAGATTGCGCTCGGCTG